AATTGGCTTTTTTTTAAAGGTTTTTCCCAAGGGACGGAAACCCAACGCCGGGGGGCAAACCCCGGGGGGGGGGGGGGGGCGTGAAAAAAGGGGACACACACGACAAAGAGAGGGGTGTGAACACCAAAGACCCAAACAAACAATGGTCGTCGTTACATTCGCAAATCACTACTCGTTCGTCGGAGTTCGACGCCCCAGCCTATGCTTACGCATGGTCGGGGGCATTGCAGCGCTCCCCTAAACCTGCTCGTCACCACAAAAAAACTCTCTTCCTAAGCCTGCCGCTCTCGCTTCTGTTTGCCGACGAGCGGACACGACGGCGCCATTCATGATCCACCTTTCACCGACTTCACCATCAGCACCGGCACGGACGTCGTCGGTGACCCCGTCCTCTTGTCTTGGAGAAAGGAACGCGGACGAGGTGGGGGGAAACTGGCTGGAGGGGTGCGGTACCTCTACCATCGGCAATGCCATCTCCCCAGGTGCGCTATCTTCGTGAAAATCACCGTTCCTGCTGACGGGTACGGCCACTTGGTGCGTCTCGAACCCGCCGTCACTCCCGTCACCGCAGTCGTGCCGCGTCCCGTTAAGGTTACTGCTGGTCCGGTAATACACGCCCCCGCCGTTGTAGCCAGCCCGTTGCACGACCACACCCGAGGTGCTCCCCTGGCCGCTTCCGCCGGGCCCCCTGCCACTGACGCTGCTGCTGCACTCGCTGCTGCCGTGCGTGTAGATTGTGTCCGAGCGCCACGACACAGATGCGGAATCCTCCGACGAACGGTACGTTTCAGCCAGAGACACGTGGGAGATCGACAACCCCGCCCCCGTCCCACCGGCGAGGCTCCCGCCGCCGCCACTGCAACTGCCTAAAGCGGCGCTGGGCCTGGCGTACCCCCGCAATGGTCTAGTCGCCGAGGCGGAGGCTGAGACCTGCGGCGACACGGCCCGCGGGTTGCCGACCGCAAAGATAGTATTGGAAGAGTAGGAAGGAACAGCGGTGAGGGGGATCGATGTTCCCGTTACGACGCTCGGGCTGGGCCTTGTACGCTTCGAGGTGAGAGCCGAGGCTGGTGTGGAACAATCTAGTGTCGAAGCCGCCCGTGAAGCGGGCGCTATGGTCGGCTCGTGCACGCGGGCGGCCACGCCAGACGACCCTGCCACCGCCTCCCCCGTCCCCGCTCCCACTTCTGCCTCGATCCCCACCGCCGGCATACCCTTCGTCCCCGTCACCGCGCCCGGAGCAAAGAAGATTCGGTCTTCTTCTGCTACTGGTTTTGGGTCTCGTTGGCTTCCCGCGCCTCTCCGGTGTCCGTCGCCACCCCCGTCCGAGTTTCCAGGCTGGGTAGTTTTGTTGATTCGGGGCGAGCGGGAACGAGTGTCGTGTTGGAAAGAGGGAAGGGGGATTAAGAGGCCACCGAAGAACGCCGTGAACCACATAAGAATTCGGTCTCCATGCACCATTTCCTAAAGGAAAGGCTTGGATTTGGTTTGATCTTGGATGCGCAAAATGGATTTGTCTAGAACAATCGGCTCGTCAATCAGTTCACGAAGTTGCATATCTCCCAAAACACTTACAACGATTCTTGCTTCGAAAACGAGAAAATAGTATATATAACGAAGGCCGACAAGAGACAAGGGCATCGACATGTTGTTGCATGCCTTCTACGTGTCGGGCGAGCTCTGACGACGGGTTTGAAGAAAAGGTAGCGGTGCCGCACCTTGTAAGCGCAGGGATGCGAGAATAAGGTCATGCGTTTTAGCACAAAGCCGAGAGATAACAAGAAGAAGTCGTACCGGTCAGGTTTTGCTGTGACAAAGTAAACAGCAGGTTTTGCATATTATCGGTGGTTGACCTCGCTGCTGTATCGAGGTTAGGTAGCCGGGTGCAAGATTCGCCGACCCGCTTCACCCTTCCCTACAGAAGGAAACATCGGCAAAGGAGACTGTCTGTATTGTTATCCCATCAGGGCTGGGCGTCACATCGCACTACTCTGCATGTAGACGCGCCAACCGATGTCACGCAGACGTTTTTGGTCCAAATCTTCTCTTTCTCTTGCGCCCCAATCTGCGCCCGACGTTTGCGTCGGTGCTTTTTCCGGGAAGGTGTCAATCAAGGGACACCGGCAAACTTCGAGCGTGATTTCAGGACAGCCGAATAATGTTTCCACGACCGTGTTAGCTCTCTGTAACGTAGCGTCAGGTTTGCTCCCTGCCGTTCCCTTATTTCGCTGTTCTGTACACTACTACGGTGCTGAGGGCTTAGCAGGGCAGATAGTCGCACTTCACCGAAACTTTCACCCGTCCACAGACGGGAAATATAGGGGCAGGCTTGCGCCAGGCGGACGTTCTTCTCGAAACTTCAATAACATCAACCCACACTCTATACTCGAGTCCATGCTCTCGAACATCATGGCAGTCCTCGTCAAGATCTATGTAGTCCCAGCGTCAACCCGTCACCGCCAACAGCAACAATGATGTTTACACAACGACAACGACGGCGGCCAAAACAACGGCAGTGTTTCTCACATCATCATCGAAGTCGTCGTCAAGCTCATCCTCAAGCGACTCCTTCGTCTCGGGGTGGATCGACCTTAGCGTCGCCGGGCTTGACCTCCGCGTTATCGAACATCTCGACTCCGATCCGTCCTTGGAGGACCCCGTCCCAACCGAGTCGGTGACTCTCCGGATGAACTTCAACAAGCCCTTGGAGTCCGGCTCCACGTGTTCCGCTTCCGGAAGTTGATTCATCTGTTTTTGTTCGTGGGCACAAGAGAGACGACTGGAACATCGCCGAGCACGAATGACCTTCAGCTGGGGGACTGTCAAGAACTTCCAACAGAGAGAAGATGTTGCCATAGGTCGAATGACGAGACACAGTACAATACAAACTTCATTGCTAGTGTATCCCTTTTCTCTTACATCGGTAGATGGAGATCATTTGAAACGCTCTATAGTTGCAATGTCTATCGTGCTGTGGGACGCCCCGCTTTTTGACGTTTTCGTGAAACAGCGGGCAATATTCTTCAGCATTCAGCCCGTAGGCACTTCCCTCTCCGTAGATGTTCGTGGAGCTGCACAGGCCCGCCACGTGCATTGCTGGTCCTTCAGAAAACAACCAACACGAAAACACCAGTAAATTTAGCAGCCCCCACAAAAAACTGTATCTACCCACCTTTTCCATTCCTGAGGGTCCCACTTCCGTCAACATTTCGTTTCTCTTTGACTGTGGTTTGCAACTAGCTTCATGCCATCGTGTGCCACACCACACTAGACTATCTCCTACAACAACGACAAAACCTCTTGCGACGCTGGACCTCAACCACGGACTTGCCGGAAATAAGAAAACACATCAACAGTGTTAAGCTGTGATATACGCCTGGGGACATGCACACAGAAACTTCCGAAGCCCAAGAAGCCCCGAACCTGTCGCCTTGTTCGGCCGCTCTGGTTCCTCTAAATCCCCTTTCTCCACGTTTCGCACGCTTTCCGTTTCGTTCGACTCCACAACAACATAAACCCAAACCCAAACCAACCCTAACTCAAGCAACAAGCACAAATCACGGGCCAAACCACAGCAATACTTCCCTAGAGCAGTAATTCCTGGGCGACATCCTTGACCTTACCTTCCTCAGCAGTTCGAGCTCCTCAGCTTCTTCCTTCACCACTTGCTCCAGGTTCTTGAACGCCTCTGTCTTCTTGAACTCGAAGCTGAAGTTGGTATCCATGATCTTGAGGACGGCAGACATGGCCTCGTCGAAGATATTGTAGCTTTGCGAACGAGTGATTACCGAGCCAGGGGGAGAGCCGACAACATTACTTTACGACCACCATCAAGCTTGTATTTCGTTAGTGTTGCAGTAGCAGGGGCGGCAACAACAACACAAAGGACTCAAGACGAGAGCAGGAAGCATCAACGAACAGCGAAATACCTGGTGATCTCTGTGGTTAGAATCTTGTTCCGAAGAGCTCCGCTGATGTTCACCTCCTGCACTGCATCGACCCTAATGAACCTGTCCAATGAGAAAATGACCACGGTGCGTGTATCGCAGGGCTCTGCATGTAAATATTCAACCCTCCATGAGAGGAGTCCGAAGCACTGCCGAGATTCCTCGCGCGTTTCCAAGAATGCCAGAGTACGGTCGCCTTTCATCCGCCCGGCGCTTTCATCCGCCCGGCGTATTCAGGTGGACGACGCAGGGTGAGCACGCTAACAAAGAACCACCCTCACGAACAGAATCAGCAGTGACAGCGACAAAAACAACTGCAAAGTCTACATGTGCAAAATTTCCCTTAGACAAGCGGCGAAGAACGAGCCGGCGAGACGTCCCTGCCGTGATCTCACGCTGTACGTACACATGACGCACCTGTCGATGATGGCCGTCGTAACCGCCTGCCTCTCGAAGAAGTCGGAGATATCCTCCCGGTCGAGACACGCCTTGTAGAAGTCGGGCAACTCCCGCGCGACCTTCGAGTCAGCGAACTTCTCGAACTCGCACCGAAGTTCTTCGAGGGAAAGCTGATCCTTCAAGCACGATCGCATCTACCACGGTCGGAGAGAAGAAGTGGGCGTGGGTGGTTAGTCTCAAACGAATGAATACACCGGGGGTCCGAGAAATCTTCATGAGGCGAGAGATGGGCGGGCCGTGAGGTTGAGCATCTGACCGCGTGGAATACGAGGAGGAGGAAGGAATATCCAGTCAGACGAAGGGATTCTTCCAGACTACACATATCATCATTGGCAAGCCGGAGAAAGCCTCTTCTTCTTCGCTCGACAAAAAACACGCCGCGTGCACGAGCACTCTGCCTCATCAGCTGCTTACAGACAGAACTCCCGCCCTGCTAGCGTTGTGCACATATTCCGACCAGCCCACGCCATGCCTAAGACCCTTCTTAATGGAAACAGAATCTTGCAAATATATCTTCGCATTTTGACCCAAGATTTGCTCACAAGATATCGCCGCCAAGATTTGCAGTGTCGCGATTTATGGGGGAAATATGTTGAATGCTGAAAAAGCGGCGTGTTGTTCCTCTCTTCTGCTTGAAGTTGATAAAGGCACAACGGCCACTTGGTCCACAGAAAATGCCAAGGTGTGGCGAAACGTGAGTATGACGCAGTTGTGGAAGGGGCGTCCCTCCCCCAGCTATATTGTCTCCGCAGTATGGGTGGATACTAGCGATGCGCGCCTACCTGGGGTGGAAAATAGAAGCCGTTGCCCACGAGCTCATGCCAAGCGGAGAAACAAAATTGTTCCGCCGCTGTCCAACCGCCAAGAAAGCGCATCAACCCCAAGCCGATGACACCCGTGCACGTATCTCACTATGTAGCAGGCGTACCGAGGTCAAACCTCCGGCGCTGCCATCTGCACTCACGGATCTGGCTCGGGTGCAAACAGATTGGGTGTGGGGTGATTCGATGAAGAGATAGAAGTGTCACACACGACAGAGCTGTGTTGGCAAAACGTTGTCCTCTATTTTTCGTACTTCAAAATGAAGCAATCTTTGAACGGTCCCTCGACAGATTAGTGATGACGCACGTGGAACGAGCCAGGGCAAATACGCATTTTTTCGCGCGCCT